TATATATATATATATATATATATATATATATATATATATTTATATATATATATATATATATATATATATATATATATATATATATATATATATATATATATATATATATATATATATATATATATATATATATATATATATATATATATATATATATATATATATATTCATTTATTTTTTCACATACTTTTATTGTACAGCATACAGCAGTCCAAAAGCATGTCCAAACTCAGTCCTGAATGGTTGATGTCCTGCAAGGTTTAGTTCCAACCCCAATCAGACACACCTGGGCTAGCTAAACAAGCTCTTACTAGGCTTTCTAGAAACATCCTTACAGGTGAGTAGAGGCAAATTGGAGCTAAAATCTGCAGGACACCGGCCCTCCAGGACGAGTTTGGACACCCCTGGCATACAGTATATGCCATGTCTGAAATTATTAAAGATTGATTAATTAATTAATTAATACAACCAAAAAATTAACAAAAGGCATCACCACACACACACACACACACACACACACACACACACACACACACACACACACACACACACACACACTTTTTGAATCACAATATTATTAATGCAGCTCCTATTAATGTATCTCAAGGTAAATATTTAATTGCCATGGCTGTCTATTGAAGGTGTGGGCGTGCTGTCAACGACAATCAGGAAGGGGGAGGGGCAGTGAATCAGCAACGAAGCAACAATCAATCCACAATAATTTAGGGGCTGCTGTTTATTTTTTTGTTGAAATATTGTGAATTTATGCAAGTAAATTTAAATTAATAATATCAACAGCAGAATCATATTTGGGTGGCCACATGGGTGGCCAGAGTTTACCTTGGGGACGCCCCTGCAATGGCTTGCCTAATTCGTAACTTAGCAATTTACTAAAGTTTAATAGCTGTCTAATATGACACCCAGATCTTTGATAGTAGATCAACAGAGTTAGTGTTAGCGCTACTATAAAAGATCTGGGTGTCATATTAGACAGCAATCTAACTTTTGTAAACCATATATCCCATGTCACAAAAACTGTCTTCTTTCATCTGAGAAATATCGCTAATTTACGAAATATGCTATCCATCTCAGATGCAGAAAAGCTAGTCCATGCTTTTATGACTTCTAGGCTGGATTACTGTAAT